GAGCCCAGACGGGGTGATGTGGGCATGCTGTATAGTGGGTACCAGCTGATGGTGTGCAACGTGAACTGCCGTGAAGAGGGTACCAAAGGGAGGGAGGGCATTCAAGGTAGCATGGGGAAAGGCGGGCTCCAGATACTGTAAATAAATACAGGATTCAAAGTTCAGAAAGGCCAGGTGACCTCTCTGAAGCTTCTAGGGTGTGGGCAGAAACCCAGAGGATCATAAGAAGGGTACAGCAGGGGACTATCAAAGACAAAAATCTTTGACTTCCAAGGGCTGGTGGTCCAAAGGAAGAGTCCAGACATTCCACTGGGCATGACAATTCCAGAGAAGAGGTATAGAGCTGCAGACTGCTAGAACTGGAAGCACCCCTGGGCTGCCATAAGTTCTGGGGACACAGAAAAAAAAAGGAGCTCAAAGTCCAGCAGGAAAATGAGCAAACAAATAGCCCAGGCCCCAAGTCATGATAAGGTCTCTGGCAGAAGTGTGGAGTGCTGGGCTCCCCGCGGCGGAATCTGGGGGTTCCTTTTTTAAAAAGGGCCTTCCTTTAGCAGTCTTCTAACATTCAAAATTGTGGTTCCTGACCTTCTGGAAGAGGGGGATTCTGAGTACTTTAAGTCTCTATGGCTGTATGTTCTTTCAAGAAATGATTTAAGGACAAGCTCTCTGAACCATGGTTGCATCATCCAGAAATGTACTCGAATCTGACTTAGCATTGTTTCTGAACTCAGAATTTGTGAACTCTAATTTCCTGCACACTTCACTTCAGGGGGAATCCCATACATTTAAAACAATTAGCTCTTCAGTTAAAACATCACTTGACCTATTCTCTCCCAATCCTTATTGATGTTTCCAGCCCTGCCATTTTCCTCATGTAATCAGCTTGCGGGAACTATTTGGGGCTCTGCTTTTTCACCTAACGTTATCTCACATACACTTTCCAGCAGCACACTTATTGTTTCTAATGCCACGCCGTGTTCCATGATGTAACCTGTGTGACTTCAGTGTGTGTTTCCGCCAGTGACTGGCTTTGGGCAAGCCTCTCCTTCTTTGGACCTCACCTCCTTATCTGTAAAACACTGTGATCTGGAAACTCTAAAGTCCCTTCCACGCCTTAGTACTCTATGATTTCCTAGCTGCAGAATCCTAAACTGTGACTGCAGAGCAACAACCCCTAGAAGGGAGAGACCCAACATCTGTTGAGAACACGCCTTGAGGCAGGAAGGCACTGAGGAACGTAAGAAAAGTCACGTACCCCCCCCCCCCTTTCCAGCAAAAAACACCATCCAAGGCCTGGCTGGGTGATCTAGACCCCTTTGTTCCTGGTGCAGCCTCTGGTCTTTGTCCCAGTAGGCAATCGGACAGGGTCACTCTCCCTCGCTCTCCCCATAGTGAAGCCACAGCTCTCCAAGTCTTTGGACTTTCCCTTCTCCTCCATGACACAGCACTTTTGGAGCCTAAGCCCAACCCCCTGGACCACCAGAGTGCTGAGTCACAGTGGGGCAGCCCTTTACCACAGTCCCCACCTCTGCTCGCTCCTGCTCTGGGATGAGCTGTATCCTCCAGAAACAACTGCCTGGCTGTTCTCTCGCCTGCGGTCCCTCCCTCCGCTCCTGGCCCTGGGAGGCTTTGTCCCAAGAGGCGAGCCAAACTCCCCGCCTCCTCAAAGTCACGAGGAGTTGGGTCGGAGGGAGGAGGCGGAATCCAGATCGACAAAGGTCCAAAGACCAAGCAGTAGCTTCGGAAGAATTTAGAAGGCTTGGAGATGGCAGCTCTGACACCCGGCGCTCCCAGAAGGTGGGGACCGGGCCCACGCAAATCATACAACATGAACACACATCCCAACAGAAGATTTCCCTTCCATTCTTTCCGGGCAGCCTCCCCTGTGACACAGCACAAGCTGTCCCTGCTCTGCTGTGATGTTCACTGCAGCTACATACGTGTTTAACCAGGCACAGAGCCAATACTGATTTCGTGAAACCTACTTCTGCAGTAGACCGACTTCCTTCCAGTGGGCTCAACATTACGCTGACTCGGTCCACCTGAAACTGTGGCGCTGGAACTTAGCACATCCAGTCCAAAACCAAGCTGGAGAAAAATAAGCAAACAAACAAACAAAACAAAAAAATCAAAACAAGCTGACCTTCCCAACAGCCTTCCCCCAAACCTGCATTTCCTCCTGTGCTCCCTGGCTCAGTGAATGACAGCAGCTGCCCAGGCCAGAAAGCTGGGGGACCTCTTTTACCCACTCCTCACCTCCCAACCCCCACCCTACCCAATCAGCCACCTTATCCTGTTCTGTCTTCATATATCTCAAATCTGCTTTGTGTCTCCTCTGCTCACTGACAACTTAGGCTGTTGCCTCTCCACTGCCAGCCCTCCTGCCTGACTTTAATCCATCCCCCACATCCAATCATGCATCTGTGTGTTCATGCAACAAATACTGAGCCCTACGGAACAAGCATATTGCAAAATGCTGGAGTACAGGAAGTGCAGGGACAAAGACAGAAATAATGCCTGCCTTCCAGCAGTTTCCAATCTACCGGAGCAGGAAGACCATCAAAAAGATCTTATAAAATATATAATTATACATATAAACTAGATATAGTATGGTTATTAATCTTCCTCATTTATATGAGCTACAAATATCATCAACCTAATTTGTCATTTCTATTTTAACTTGGTTTATGACATCTTCCATCTCACAGCTTTTCATTTGTAAGTTGTCAAACCTGCCAACTGTCCTGTTATGGCTTCCAACAGCCTCAGAAGAATACTCCCACCCCCAAATTACAAAAGATAATCTTCTATACAAAGACTCATACATCCTTCTCGAAACTTTATAGGTTTTGTTTTTTTTTTAAGGCTTGGACTTTTAATACATCCAGAATGTATTTTTAAATACAAGAGTGAGTCATATTTTCTATATGACTGTCAATTATTTCAACAGTGTTGAACCCATTCTTTCTGCCTCTCCCCTAATTTGAAACACCACTTGAGTGAATACCAAATTCTCATACATATCTGGATCGGATGATTTTGTTGCTTCGATCTAGCATCTCATCCTGTGCCAGTACCACACTGCTTATGTACTTTATTGTACTTTTCTTTTATAGCAGAAAAGGCAAATCTACCCTGACAATCTTTTTTTCCTCCAAATGTTTATCAGCCATTCTACACACTCACTCTTCCAAATAACCTTTAGAATCACGTTGTCAAGTTCCCCCTAAAACAGTGCATTTTATGGAAATTGCGTTGAATTTATAGGTTTATTCAGGGAGAATTAACACCTTTACAAAACAGAGGCTGGCCTTTTAGGAACATGGTGTCTCTTGATTTTCATGAGTTTTGTTTTTTCTTTTTTTGGTTCTTTTTTTTTTGGGGGGGGGGGGTCCAGTAGTAAGCATTTATAGTTTTCCTCATACATTTCTTGTCAGCTTCATTCCTAGATACTTTAAGCTTTTGTTGCCAATGTAAGTGAAATTTTTTTTTTCTTTCATTCATTTTTTTACCTTCATTAGAACAGAAAGCTTTGCACCCTATAATGGTGACTTTGCTGGATTCTTATCCTAACAGTTTTTTGTTGGTTCAGCATAAGGCTTCTGAAAACAAAACTGCGGTGTGTCCATGTTTTTTCTTGGATTAATGTTTAACCACTTTTTGTGGCACACAAAAAGGGACCTTGCCCCTATACTCCACCCTTCCAGCATTGCCCAACATGCACTCTACTTTCCAGGCCAATGGACTTTCTTAAGGTACCATGAACAGGCCATGTGTCTCCACACCTTCACCTTCGCATATGCTGTTCCCTCTGCTTGGAATTTTTTTCCCCATCTCCCTTCTTCACTTCACCTTCCTTTTAGCTTTTTCTTCAAACTTAGCTCAAGTATCACTTTCTCAGGAAAACATTCCCTGACCTCCTCTCCCAGGCAGTTTAAGGCACCCCATGTACAGCAGTATCCTTCTGCTTACTTTATTGTAGCTCTACAACCACTAAGATATTTTTCCTGAAAGTAAAATATGTTCCTTGTGAAATTAATAAAGACCCAAAAAGAGAGACTGCCACAATTCCATCAGCCATTTTTTTTGACCGGTAAGGGGATCGCGACCCTCGGCACGGTGTTGTCCGCACCACGCTCAGCCAGCGAGTGCACCGGCCATCCCTATATAGGATCCGAACCCACGGCCTCGGCACTACCAGCGCCGCACTCTCCCAAGTGAGCCAAGGGCCGGCCCCCATCGGCCATTTTTTTAATATTTCAGTAGAGTTGCTTTTTTAAAAAATAATTTGCAAGTCCAGCTTCCGGTCGCATGCTTTGGAGTATCCTGAAAAGGGTCTTGATAGGTCTCCCACCTGACTGACACACCTATGTGTCAGAAGACCTGACTGAAAATAGTGGACAGGGCCTAGCTAGGAGCAGAGACCTAGCTTCAGCTCTGCCACCCAAGAATTCATACCTACTCTGTGCCTGGGGCACAGCTGCAAGCCACTCACAGTAGCCCTACCCCTCTAGGGCCCCATAGGGCCACCTGTGACTGCGTCTCCAGATCCAAGTCACTTCTCCTTTCTTTTTAACCCAGAGATCTATCTTTGAGTTTTAAGCATCACCAGCGATTTTCTCAGAACCCTAGGTGGCTCACCCCCATGACTCCCTCGGAGAAGACGGTCCCCTCTCTGTCTCTTGGGAAACACGACCTGCCTAGTCTTTGTTGTATAATCTGCACAAGGATCCACATTTGCTTTCAGCAAATGGCGGACACGGTCGCCAGAGTCAGAAGGGCCGGGACAGACCCGAAACCGGCCGTGGGCCCCCACTTCTTCTCCTGCGTGCTCCCTTCCTGAACTCTGAGGAATTGAAAGCCGCCCCTTCTCAGCCCAGCTCCTGACTCAGTGGACCACCTAAGGCGCACGTTGCCACCTTGCATTTTCCCAATTTGCATTACGAGGTAATTACCTCGGGTGTGGTAACTGCTTCCCTCCTGCACAGATTTTTAACCACATGCCCTTGGCCCAGAGCCTCTGGGTGCGCGTTGGGGATTTTCAGAATGACCCCGACGCCCCCCTAAGTTTCAAGACTCGGGACGCTTCTGCAGACGAAGTTTCGAGGTGGCCTCCCCATGTCTCCTCACACCTGCCCTCCGACCCCACTAAACGGGCCCTAGAGGCAAAGAGACGCCTCCTCTCATCGCTAGGGACTCCCCGGCCCTTTCGCCAACCCAAGCCCGGCCACGCAGCGCTGCGGCCTCGGGCCAGACCTCCTTCTCCTCCGAGAGTCGCCGTGGTTTCCTGCTTCAACAGTGCTTGGACGGAACCCGGCGCTCGTCACCCACCCCGGCCGGCCGCTCAGAGCCAGCCCTCCGCCACCTCTTCACAGCGCCCTCGGATCGCCCCAAGGCCCCCGCCGCCGCTCCAGCGCAGCGCAGCCGCCGCCGCCGCCCCGTCCTCTTCTCAGCCGCTGCCACGACGACCGTGACCGCCTCGCAGGTGCGCCAGAACTACCACCAGGACTCAGAGGCCGCCATCAACCGCCA